TACAAGAAACAAGGCAAAATTGCTATGAAACACAAACTGTCTTTCCTTATGCCCATTCAAATTTTCCACTTTATCCCACTGGAGATATTAACCAACACATATTTCTCTATATGTGTTTAGCTTACATTACAACTGTTTTTGTGTCATGCCTCCAAAGCTCCTTTGTTTTCCCCCAAAGAAATGTTAACATCTACTATATACTACCTCCTCCCCTGCCAAGTGTAATCAAAGAACCTGTTGTTCTAACGCACTTGCAGTCCCCTGTCATGATTTTCACCTCTCACATATCCAGCCTAAAACTACAATGAACTTAAGCAAAAGCTGGGCAAGGGGGAGGGAGGAGAAGAGAGGAAGAGGCATTACCAACTGCCAAATTATGCTCTGTCTTCATATGGAAATCAGAATCTCTCAGCTGTGCAAACTGGATTACAAAGAACTCCATCATACCGGGAGGGAGGAGATGCTGTACTGTGCAGATGGCAGACTTCAAACTTTTCTGCAACTTCTTCAGTGAGTAGATGCAGGACAGTAACAGCGATTGTCCATAAATAGATCCTTTCAGACATAACTAGCAACATGAGCATGATAAGCCCAGCTCACTGTTCTCTCTCTACTACTTTCTTCTGCTGTTGGTCTAGAAAAGTTTACTGAAAATAAAGACAATTTCTCGGTGGCAGAGGGACTGAAGGAGGAAGGAAAAAAATAAGATGGGTGGGTGGCGGGACAAATTAGTCATATAGCTGTCACTTCCCCTACCTTTATCTCATGCTATTACATCACTCATTCAATCTAGATTCAAGTAAAGTATTCCACAGGCAAAAACTAAGATTTAAATGTATGCCACTCATTACACAACTAGAAGCACAGAAGGCAAAACATAACCTACAAATTTAAGGAAGAACACTGTTCAAGCAAGGATTTGGAAAATATTTCTGTGAAAGACAAATTTCAATTCAGCAAAAATTACAGGGGCCTGGGGTGGGGTGGAAACAGCTTCTCTTATTCAGCAGTGCTTAGAGGAGACTGGAGAACATTAATGCAGACAAGACCATGCTTAATACCGCCAAGACAAGACCCTGAGACTACAAAGCCAATAAGACTACAGGTAACAGAGTGTTACCATCTGTCATGATGCTGATACATCTTCAGTCCCAGAAGTTCCTGCAGCACAGAACACTAGGAGAAAGATGAAGACCTTGACTCTAAGGTGACTGTCCAACTGCTCAGGCAAAAAGATTTGAATAATCCATTATTACCAATGAGTGCATTCCTGCTGTCCCTTCCAGCCTCCAGTTCTTGGCTACAATCCTACTAAACATCGGCATACACAAGACTCCTCTGAGCCTTTGCAATTCACCCAAATAACATAGAATGAGCCCCAGAATAAAAGTGGTATGTTTTGGTGTGTTTAAGTACCAAAGATGGGGCAGGGTAAGAGATGAGACAATATAAGAGCTTTAGGGAAGGAAGGATGAGAAGAAAGGGAAGTCATACCCTCCCATTTTGGCTGACTGTAGAATTTCAGCCTCTTTTCATGACATTTGTCACTATTATCACTCAGAAGGTATACTAAACTATGCATAACTTCATTGAAAGGCAGTTCTTTTACAGGATTTCCTTACATTTCCAGGTCAGGAAGCTCTTAAATACATAGCAGAATTGTTTCTCTAAGATAGAATACTGAATATCCTTTTTCAGACAAGCATTTCCCCATATCAAAATGGTCTTCAATTTTACTGTTTTACTGCAAATCACAAGAGGAAGAGCATACCTTTAAGCTGCAGAAGAAAGGATGACTTTTTAAAGTACCTATACTACCTGGAGAGGACAGAAAGGGTCAGTCAAAAGGGCAGAGCTGCCAAATCACTGACCTTTTTTGCAAGAGCCATAGCAGCAAAGAAAAATTCTAAAGGTCAGTTTAACTACAGTCTCAAGGAAGACAGGCAAAAGAAAAGAGTTAACTTGAAGCACTATGTGAGAATAACAAATCTTACAACAGATCTGCTACAGCCAGAGCCACTTTCTGCATTAAAAAAAAAAAAAAAATCTTGGTTTTAATACACGGGCACTATGTCCTCTTCAAAGTCTACTTTCTCAGAGGTATGTCCTCTATTAGAAACAGCACCACTGAGTCAACTGTGTGGGTGGGTGGATGAAATTTAGCCACAGTAGGAAAAGCTGGTTCAGTTTACAACCTAGCCATGAAGATTAGTAAACCCCTTGTCATGGTTTAAACCCAGTCAGGCAGCTCGTTCACTCACTTCCCCCCCTTCTTGCCCTCTCCCTAACTCCAGGAGGGACAGAGAGGAGACTAGAAAAGAATGCAACTCCCACGGGTTGAGATAAGAACAGTTTAGTAACTAAAGTATAACACAAATCACTACTGCTACCACCAATAATAATAATGATAAGAGAAATACCCTTCCGGGTAACTCCCAGTTACATCCTGGGCATGATGTGCTGTGGTATGGAATACCTCTTTGGTCAGTTTGGGTCAGGTGTCCTGTCTCTGCTTCCTCCCGGCTTCCCCTCCTCCCTGGCAGAGCATGAGGCTCACAAAGTCCTTGGCCAAACCAAAACATCAGTGTTACCAGCTCTGTTCCCAGGCCGAAAGTCAAAACACAGCACTGCACCAGCTACCAAGAAGGAGAAGAATGACTGCTACTGCTGAACCCAGGACACCCCTGAACAGTGGTTTTAAGGCACTAAATGAATGAAAAAGCAAACAAACTCCTTTGTTTGTATTCAATGATTCTACCGGGGAATCCTTGGGTTTTTGTCCATTTATAAGGTGAAGTTAATTTCAAAACCACCACCACAGAGTTTGTCACAAACTCAAAAAATGTGATTTTTTCCCCTTTTCTGAAAAAGTCCCATCCCATCACAGTTTTAATACTGAACAGCTGAACACCAATTCTGTAAACTTGGGGAAAATTTCTCAGAGTTTAACACTTTCTTCAGCCTACTGAAAAAGGATAGAGCAAAAACAAAGCAGCACTGTTACTGAGTGTAGAGGTTTCTGCTAGAGAGCAGAATTTGGCTCTCAAATTACCAACACTTTCTGGTTACCTCCTTCAAAAGAATCATTCTTATCAACTTATCTGGGCAGAGAAACAATAGCCACATTCTTATGAGAAGCAATCACCAGGTTTACAAAGGCAGTGCTTGCATGTCTTTGTGAGAAAAGCTTTTGGGGTGATTTTGAGCCTTGCAGTCACTGGCTAAGAGCACAGAAAGCAACTGCAACACTTGCAGCAACACAAATTAGCTTCCTGTGAAGACAAAGCAAGTTCTTGACCTCTTTCTCTTGATTCACCAACATTAAGTTCCTTAGAATAGCAAGAGGTGGCTTGTTGATTACTCATGCCGCATCAAGAATTGGAGAGACAGAAGACAAGATGGGCAAACTTACTGATGCCTCAGCATATCACTCCTGAAGTAAGAGGGCCTAAGATCTAGAGGGAGACCTGCAAAATCAGCTGCAGACAACATTCTGCGTTTCTCAAAAATTAAGAAATACAAAATTTAAGTTTTTCTTGTACTATGCAAGTTACAGAAGCAATTACTTGAAGAATCTTTTTAGCCTGAGAGACAAAAATGAAGTATTGCCTAACTTCCTACATGAAAAGTCCAAAACAAATGAAGAGATATCAGCATGAATAGCAGGAAAAAAAAACAACCCCAAAAACAAACAGCAAAGCCCCACACCAAAAGAAGTCTTGTCATACTACAGAAAGAAGATGATTGACAAGCAGCAATATAACTGATGATTGTCATAGGCTGGTTGCAGCACTTAGGCCTACAGCAATACTGCAAAGGTTTGCATTTTAACTTTGCTAAGAGAAAAGAACACATTTCTATATACCTCTGGTTTGCTTCACTCAATACAAATCTCCAATAAAATAATAATCTTAGATAATTTAATTTAAAATAAATACTGAATACTAATTTTTTCTACAAAGAGACATTTTACCTAAACTGTCACTTAGTCATTTCTTACCACTTCAAATAAAGATTTAAATGTAAGTGTGACCTTGTGGAGCTGATCATTATACTGACAAGCCTGCATCATTCACTCTTTATATCAAATGAACTTTTGCTGCAGATGGGCAGAGGTATGCTTTCAGCACAGCTAATTCAAATTAATGTTAATTATTGATTAGAATAAACTCTGCTTGTTCCAGTTTTCTCCCGTAAAAGAGAACACACATATTAGTACAACTGACTTTAGAACAGGCCAGATTTCTGTTTCTGAGAGTATTTCTACATGACATCTTCTAGTTTCAGTTCTGTAAATTCACCACAACATTTTTCTCATTTCTTTACACACGTCACCATCACTTTCAATGTTCCCAAACTGCCTGTGGTTTTACTGAAAGGTTTCCCCTCTGATTAAGCAATGCCAAGGTGCCAAAATACCAAATGAACATCTGTTCTTGCTGCATCTCAGCCCAGTTGTTTTTGTGTTGTGCATTGCTTCAAACAGGTCTCCCTGTCATACATTAAACAAGAATATTAAGTAGCAGCAAATTACTGGCATAGCATAGCTCCAGATAGGCACTAAGCTGCTTCATGTGTATGAAGTGTACTATAAAAGGAATGTAGTCTTGTCAGTTATACTTTCTCTGTTCCACAGCTGTGTGCTCCTCAGATTTAAATTAAAAGCAATATATGAGATTTACTTAGGATAAACCCATTAACTATAAAACATTAAAATCCATGACTGGCATAAGAGAAGGAAGAGATGGGAAAAGCTGTTAAAAAAAAGAATCTTTAAAAGATTCTTGCACACAGGAACAAAACCAGAGAAAGAAGTAGCCACAGCAGATGAGGTCCATAGAAAAAAACAAAACAAAACAGCCTTAATCTTTAATCAACCCTACTGCACTGAAGATATTTAGCTAGGAGTGTCAGCATGGGGAGGGACAATGGATAGATGAGTTTAAAAAAAAACAAACAAAACCAAACCAAGCCAAAATCTTGAATTAGTGACACTCTACCTCAGTGATTGGTTGCCCTTGTGATGTCAAGTCCAGTTCCTGAGGTCTTGTCACTTTATCAATATCCAAGGAATCCATGCTGGAAGCTGCAGAGGTTATGCTGGAACGGGAGGAGTTACTGATTGAGCGCACCTCAGCATCACTCACTGTGCCAGCAGATGCTGTCCTCCTGTGCTGAGCAGTAACTACTGTTTTGGTGTCTTCTGCAACAGACTGTTGGGCTGCCTCATCCATGCTCAAAGAGGCCTTCTCTAACTGTGCAGTGATGTCATCCAAAGATACATTGGCATGTGATGGTTTAGTCACCTTACCAGATGAGGATAATCCTTTCATGCTGCTGTGCTTAGCAGAAGTTCGGCTAGCAGGTGGTTTCAAAGCCTTGGATTCTGTGGCAAGGCGTTTCACCGCAGCATTGTTTGCTGAATGAGACCCAATACTGCTGAGCTCCTGCTCTATGGAACAGAGATCAGCCATGAGAGCATCTAGATCCACAGTCTCCCCCTGATTCAGGGCTTCTGCAACAAACAAGATTTCAGTACATGCAGTCACTTGATTCATCTGTGAAATGCTTCACTTTGTGTTATCAGGTTTAACAGTTAGGTTAAGGGAACAAAGGAAGCTGTATTTTCTTTTCCCCATCTGTATTGCAAAAACCTCTGCTTACTGCTAAGCAGAAATTTATTTGCACTACTAATCCTGACTGTTCTAAGGGCAACTAAAAACCCAAAAATCAACAAACTATTTTGATTAAATACGTTTGCTGACAGAAGAAATCTAGGACTGTTTGGATCACACCTGAAAAGTTTAAACTGCTGTCCTGTGAACAGAATCTAAAAGTACATTTGTATAATATCATGCCTCAACTTCTCAAAAGAAATGTAGGTGTTTTGCTAAGCATTTTCTGCTAAAGCAATTTAAGGTATGTGACACTGCTTAAAAAACCCAAACCACAGAAAACAAAAAAACACAAACCCACAAAATACTATACAACTACTCAAGCCATTAAATTGCAGTTTCCTGTATTATAACCAGGGGAAGCTATTTTAAGACAAAGAAAAACTTTTTTTTTTTACTATGAAAGCATTCTGTAGCTATATTCCTGCATCCTGCCCCATGAAGATGCTTTTTTTTCCCCATTTAACAGTTACACATCAATTCATTCTTTCATAAACCCAGATCCCAGAATATTTATTTCTGTATAAAAACTAGGCTACAATTCTCAGATACCAAGTTCTATAAAAGAAACTGGTTTAAGATACTAAAAATTCTGTGCCACCAGAAAGCAATGCCTTCAGCAAATATTCTCACTTCAGCTAGAAGTATATTTAAATGTACTTATATTTTACAATGTTCTCATTTATAGCTGGAATAGGTTGGTCTTTTTTTCCCTAAACTAATATTTGAAAGGGTAAATAATTCAACAAACCATTCAAATTGTACATGGAGAAGCGATACGAGAAGTTGGCAAGATTGGTTTCCTGACGGAGGGGTGATCTCTTGACTGGTGCCACAGGCTTGTCTGTATCCAAACTCTGAAAAAAAAACAAAAAAAGAGACAGGACATAGTTTTGACAGGGAACTGGGCAAGCAAACATTTAAGATAAAAGTAACTTTCTTTAAGAGAAGCTTTTCAAAAACTCCTGGCATGTTAAAAAAAAAACACAACAAAACAAACCAAAACAAGAAACAAACCACCAACTCTTGTTCAGGCTTTAGATTTCAAACACTGAAATACACATCAGATATTCAATGGAAAAAAAAGGTTAAACACATTCTGTTTTATTTGTTTTTTTCTTTCTTTTAGAATCAAAAGAATGGAAGCATGTCCATTCTTTTTGAACAAGTCCAGAGGAGGGCCACGAGGATGATCAGGGGACTGGAGCACCTCCTGTATGAAGACAGGCTGAGGAAGTTGGGGCTGTTCAGCCTGGAGAAGAGAAGGCTGCGTGGAGACCTCATAGCAGCCTTCCAGTATCTGAAGGGGGACTATAGGGATGCTGGGGAGGGACCCTTCATTAGGGACTGTAGTGATAGGACAAGGAGTAATGGGTTAAAACTTAAACAGGAGAAGTTTAGACTGGATATAAGGAGGAAGTTCTTTACTGTAAGGGTGGTGAGGCACTGGAATGGGTTGGCCTGGGAAGTTGTGAATGCTCCATCCCTGGTGGTGTTCAAGGCCAAGCTGGACAGAGCCTTGGATGGCATGTCTTAGTGTGATGTGTCCCTGCCCGTGGCAGGGGGGTTGGAACTAGATGATCTTAAGGTCCTTTCCAACCCTAACTGTTCTATGATTCTATGTTCCAAATACATTTTTAAGTGGTGCTACGTACCAGCTCACTCTGAAACAGACAGCTGGCTTACCTGTAACAACGAATCTGCAGTGAACTGCACAAGTGTGTAAACACATTCAAAACTGTGGCATCCTCTCTAAGAAATGCATCATTAGCTTATGAGCATAAGCATGGCATAAGAACATGAAAGCATTCCATGAAGAACTGGTTTTTATTAAAAGGGATTTAAAGTTGGCTAAACTCAGACATTTTTCTCATTTCATCTTTCCTGTGAAAAACACTAAATTATGAAAGCAAACCCCAGTTTATGTAAGGTAATTTAATTTTTTAAAGAAAAACTAGTATTAGGAGGGGGAGACATAATTCTACCTAATACATTAAGTTATGTTTTGAAGGCTAATGTGAGCATAATATTATAATAAATACCAGTATTTTTTAAGTAGCAAGCAGTAGGTCACTATCACCCAGCTGGTGACCCAAGATGACCGGGTCTGGAACTGGTACCCTTGGAGTGACAAGGTTACATGAGGAACATAGCTCTTGCTGTTGCTGAGGCTCAACAGGCCTGAAAATGGTTTGAATTTAAGCAATAGTTGTTCCAATAAAGCTTTCCTGAAGGTATGCTTGTCTGAAAGAAATGCATCTTTTTAGCTCCAACAGAACAAGGTTTCTCACCAAGCTTTTTGTTAAAAATCAAATGCACTATTTTTTCCTCCACTATTTATTTTTGCTGAACTCCCTTCTCTCCTCAGTTTGGTTTGAACTTCAAAACAAATAAATAAATCACTGTTTTGGGAAGTCAACCATCACTTAGTAAGGAGAAGCAAGTGATGCAGCCTTGTCTTCCATCAGGTAGAAAAAACCTCACCTCTGGTACTTTTCATAGAGCTTACATATTGTCCAACACAGGATAACTGAAAAAAAAATAAAAATAATACATCTGTCTACAACCCTAGAGGCAGCAGTCAAACTGGAGACACAATAGGCAAATTACAGCTCTTTCAGGTTGAACACATAGAATTACCACAACATGTATCCTGTAAAACAAATACATTTGAGTTTAAAGCATCTAAAAAGTGTTTTATCTTAATTATTAAATTCAGTATTTCACATCCTTAGAGACACACATGAAATACTCTATTATCAGGGTACGTTCCCTATAACACATTATAACGCTCACTACCAGTATGGAGAACTGCTAAAAACTGGAACAGCACCAAAAGCTTAGGTCTGCATGATCATAAGAAGCAAGGCAAGATTCCCTTCCTTTAACCTGCACCACAGAGTAGGATAACTAGTGCTGGATAAATGTTAATGCACTCTGCATCAGTGCCAAACACTGCTCTTGTGCTGCAAATATTGTGACTATATTTTATAATGCTTTTATTAGACCAACAGTCAAAGAGGGCAAAGTGAATTCAAATGATCTCATGGGCATCTTAACAACTACAAATTTTTTAAGAAGAACTTGCATCTGGGGAGAAATCTGGGCCTTACTTTCAATCTCCCCCACAAATAAACATTTAGGAAACCTAAAAAGGAAGTTCAAGGAACTCAGGGGCAAAAAAAATCCCTTCCTCCTACTGCTTTTAGCATCCAGTTGATAAATAGAAACAAATGATGAGATGCAGGAGAATGCACTTTGGAGCTCATTAGCTCTAATCACCCCCTTTATTCAGGCTTTATTGGGACAGCTGCTTCAGAATACAATCACTTTTCATCAAACGAACTGAGACACAACTAACTGCATTAACTTGTTTATTACACAAAACCATATGAGGTCATTCAAAGTTTTGGGGAAGTGTCATTTCTCAGTCGTCACAAAAGAAGGGCAACTGTCAGGCTACCTTGCAAACTGTGTTGTACAGTAATAGGAAAGAGAAAAATAAATAAAGTGGGTCATCCCTTTAACTGTTAGTACGTTTTAATAACTTTGCACGGATAATCATTGCAAATTGAGACATCACCATTGAGACATCAGCCTGTATGTCAACAGCGTTGCTGTAAGCCCCAAGTAAAGTATGGTTATATTTCTAGGCTGGTCATACTTGAAAAAAATGGAGCAGAGAACAAAAAAACTAAGACTGACTATCCACTGTGCTCTTCTGTGAAGACCCTCCTTTGAGATAATTTACAGAGCCCATGCTTCTAAAACGCCTCCCAATTACAGTTAGAAATCCTTCACAGGAAGTTAAAAAAAAAAACAAGAGTTCCTATAGATACACAGATTTATTTCACTGTCTTCCATTCATCTTAAAAGACAGGATTCTTTATTTTCCTACATGTACAAGTTCGGGGGGGGGGGGGGAATCATAAAATCATTTTCCCCTAGAGTGCTCTCTACATTTAGATCTTGCAAGCAGAAATTTAACCAGAAGGTATCAGAGGCAAGTCTGAATTTGAAATGTTGTCACATGGATTAGCTCAATGTTCCTTCAGTCTTTGGGTATGATGAAGATGAGAAAAGCTACCTCTTCTCTAGCTTTATTAAACTTGAGGTATCATACCTTTCTTCAGACAAAGAGGGAGGGGATTAAATACCTTATTCAGGGGGGCCAGCTCACACGGTTGAAAAAAAACAGTCACAGAGAAATGGTCTATCACCCTGGGAGTCTGGCATACTACACAAAATGCAAGATCTGCTTACGAAGAAAAGAAAAAGCCCTAGAAAGAAGACATTTCCAAAAGGAAATGTCCCATCAGCTGTAGGAAGGGTTCTCTGGAATAATGGCGAGTCTTCCAGGGTGTGTCAGGGCACCTTACCATGTCATCAGTGACAACATTCACAATGTCTTGTGCCCTACTGCTCTTCAGGCGCAACAAATAAATACTGCCTGTCATAGCTAGACAATGTCCAACCGTATGTTTGGAGATACAGCCTATCTCTAGCCAGCTTAAGTCAATGTTTCATCATATACATGAGGACAAATACCAGTTCCATAGCTGCCTTTGGGAAAGCTCAAACTAGCAGGTTTTGAAAAACGAATTTAACAACTTTGAGATGGGGAAAACAAGCCAATTTAGAAATATTTGAAGAGTACTGAGCTGGCCACATGCTTCAGTCTACTTGGCTGCAAGTAGCAGCGCTAAGTAGTTATGATTCAACTGAAAAGCAACATGCAATACTTAATAAAGAATTATTCTGCGAGATGATTGAAACCTCCCTAACCTGTGTGAGCTTGTCCAGTTCCCCCAGCCATGCCCCAAACATCTTGTCCAGATCCTGATCTTCCTTATCACTATCTTCTTCTGCACCATGGTCAAGTTCTTCATCTGATAATTGCTCCATCTGAAAAAAAGAAATTATACATATATAAGTTTGATACTCAAATTGTATCAGTGTCTAATAAATCTGGTGTCAGCTACTAAGTTTATGAAAAAGCATTCTGAAGTCAAAGCACATATTTGTCCATAAGCTTTATAAAAGCTTTATAAAAATTGCATACATTCACAGTTTCTTACCCTGCTCAGAAGTAAAGAGTTAGCGTGAAAGCTGGAATGAATAATTACAAAGCCATTCTTGCAGCTCACTTTTGTCAGAACCATGCAGGAAAAAAAAACAAAATCCAGAGTCCACAATATATAATACAGCATCAGAAATTAATTCATGCTAGCCTTGCACATGCATTCATTGCCAGCTATTGTTGGCAAAGACTGTTGATTTTACATTACAAAAATTCAAGTCTTGTCCAAGGAATTCAGCTGACCACAGTTAAGCAACACCATTCAACCCACAGGAAGTGCAGTCTCCCTGTGCTCCAGATAGTTGACTCTACACATCTGTAAACAGAAATGCTTAAACAGGCCACAGAGAATGCCAGCAACACATCCCATGAGACAGTTTAAATCTTGGAGACTGTCCAGATCACTTCAGTGATAATGCACAATTTTTACCCAACAAAGAAGCTCCTCCCTGGAAGCTGAGGGTCACCATTATAGCTATCAGATCCTCATTCATTCAACAGATTTCAGGGACCAAGATAAAGACTTAATGTTCTCCACAGGTTTTCTGTTATTACCTCAAAGGAAATTAATCTTTTGTTAAACAAGCCTCTATTCTCTTCCCCAAACATGATCTCCAGACCCCTTAGGTGGAGCTAAGATACATATGCCTTCCTTGGTACAGTCATACTGTTAAACCCAGGATCTAGTTCAGAATGAAAATTTACATACTTGGGAGGAAAAACAACACAGGCAACAATTTGTGAGCAATGAGGCACTATAGAAGTATAATCCCTACAGATGTGCTACAGAACATCCAGAGAGACATGGGAACAGATTGCCACCAACAGATGCACAAAAAATCTACAGTGTGCCATACACCTTGATTTGGTCAAGTAATGGGCTACACAGCAATTTCCTAAACTGGTGCTTTCTGAAACCTGTGTATGTTTTGTAGATTTAAAAGCAAACTTTCTAAATGCTACTCTTCAGGAAAAGACGAACCTTAGTCTGAAATACATCAGTGTTGCAGAATTGAGCTGATTAGAGAGGTTACAAAAGAAAAAGATGACCACAGAGAAAAACTGTTCAATCCAGTTTTGACTTCATATGACAACAGTTAATGCAAAATAACCTCCATGATTTTAAAACAGCCTTTCCTTCTATTTATATATTGCTTATATTTCACTTTACCTTGATAAAAGAATCAGGGAACAAGAGACTTCATAGGTGATCTACAATTCTGAGGTTAGCAGAAGCCAGCGCCTCTCATGGATGCAAGATACTGCCATCCAGTTGCTCTAGGCAAAGAATCTTTTACTGAGATTTTACTTTTGTGGGAGAGCACAATGCAGCTGCTTCCCATAAAAGGGGTAATAACATTAAAGCTAACCTGGCATGGTATATTACACCAAGCAAACACTGAACAGATTCAATTTACCATCTAAATCTCATTTCTTTCAACACTTCAGTCCTGTTAAGTAATTCTAGCACTCGGGAAGGGAAGGAAGCTCTTCCTACAATCTCGGAGCAGTGCTGAAGTCCAAAAAAAAAAAATGCCAATATGCTTATGTAATTGAGCTGCATCCTTCTACCAACACTGCACCAGTTTTTATCTTTTATAAATGAGGCATGCCTCCCCCTGCAAGATTTGTCTCCATGATGTCACCTGAAAGCCCTTGCACATACAGAAATGGAGACAGCGGGGTAGCAGCAACTCATACTCTCCCTGAACTCCTGCAAAACAAACAGAAGCGAGATTCCACTTTCACAGCCCTTCAAAGCTCTGCTTTACTACTCCTTCAGCTTTTACATGGACCAGAAATACTGCAAATTCAAGACAAAAAACACTATACAGAGTTTGACCATATCACCTTAAGTAACAGCATTCGCATTCAACACCACAGTATTTCTCAATGGCTAGATACACTTGAAGTAAAGAATTTTTATTTGAAGGCTAAGGGTAGTTATTAAAAGCATGCCTTAGGAAATATGACTGTGAACTGCCATATCACATAAATGGAAACTGTGACAGAAAACAGACAGAGCTCTGTATTTACAGAGACTTCACACTGCTAGCCTTTCCCTCTTTCAGCTGTTTTTGCCACTTATGCTACAGTCAGATGGGGCTTGTTTTGCAGTGCATCCATTCTATGGCACTGTTCATAACTCATCCTTTCATTAAGAGAGGAGCTTGTTCGTTTTTCTAGCATTTCTGAGGATGTAAACCGTGAAAAGAAACAGGCATTCTTAATTTCCCATAAACTGTTGCTTTAGCTATTTTAACTTGGCATCAGAGACATTGCTTTAGTTCTAGTTACTCTGAAGACAGAATTAGCAGCCTGAAGAAAACTTTTACAAGTAAAGTACTGTTGTGTCAGCATGTCTGGCACTAAACTCTGTAGTATTTGCCAGCTCCCTGTAGTCCCCACCCAAGCTTCCTAACATCAGCTGCATTTCCTATGAGCTTGCAAAAGGCACACAGAGGATAGTGTCTCACTTAAGAAACAGCTAATATTAACTTGCTGGTTCTGTACAAGGGATCTGTCTTAGCAGAAGCTCCACGAAGGGAAGGAGATCTCAAACGACATCAATTAAAGGACTAATTTAACAAATGAAGGCAGAGACAAAATGCTCAGATAACAGCATCTGAACTTTTGACATATGAACTCAAAACAGTAACAACTCAAACAGAAAGCACATTCCAGTTCAAAAGCTTGACATCTTTTTTACAGCCACTTTCTTCCTCACCGTTGTTCACAGCAAACACCTGCCATACTTCAGCAAGTCACAACCTAACTGGGAGTTATCACACCTTTCCAAGGATACAACATTTTTATTTTTAACAAGAAAGAAAAAAATGGTTTAAGTGCTGGGGGGATATACCTGTTTGGGGGGGGTTTATGTGTGTTTTATTGTGGTTTTGGTTTGGGATTTTTGTTGTGTTTGTTTGAAGGAGACATTTAGAACTAAATTAGATCTAAGAAATAAAAAGGAATAAACTGTCCTAGTGTGATACCACAAAGCCACTTACATTCCTAAAGCATTTGCAGGGTAGCAGAGTTTAAGTAGCTGTTGCTTCTGCTTAGCTCATACACGATAAAATGCCAAAGTAATTTCTGGATTCAAGTTACTTTTCAACACTTCATGTTCTATTCAAGTGCATGTCAGAATAGTACTTAAAATGAGCAGCATCATTCTGGTATACCTAGATAAAATAATGTACCAATATGGCACAGTCTTACATATTCAAGCCCTTCCTGAACTGAAGTATATTCCATGTACTATTTTGTTTTCCACTACAGTCAACTTTATCTGTTTGAAACACTATTTAGCCAGGCAATGCCATAGTCACTGTATGTCATCTACCTGGTTTCCAAAACAGCTCATTAGGTCTGTTCACTTTCAAATGCATGAAGCATAATATTCTAGCTTTTAAAAAAAATATTCTAATCTTATTTTATGAAAAATGACTGAGGCTTTCATTAGAAGTTACCAGTTGCAACATTTAGTCATTACCTACTATTTCAATTACATTGTAAGGAAAAAACTCAACTTTACCAATAATTTAGAAAAAAAATAAAGATATATTATAAGCCATTACAACTTTCAGCATGCCAGGGCAAGGCATGAGATGATGCGATTTCAAAACACCAAAGGAAAGATGAAAAGCCCAAGAACAATGCTTCAAATATACCATTTTGACATTTTCAAGAAAATGCACCATCACAGAAATCCAAAACTCAACAAACTGCTGTGATCAGAAAGCAACAGCTTTGGGGCATGTAAGTTCTAATCAAAAGTGTACTTAAAGTGTCTTTCACTGAGACTGCACTCTGCAGACTTGCACTTTGAGACGCAGTTCCTACCTTAAGTCAACCCAGTTGAACACAATAGGAAACTTTATTATCTTAACAATATCTCCTTAGAATGAAAACACTCTGTACTGAAAAAAAGCAGCTGTAAAAGAATGTGACAGCAGGATTTGCCTATACTGCACTTACTTGATGACAGAAAGATATCAGAGAAAAACAGATATCTAACTGGAAATGCTAATGTGCTTAAAGGGTCAGTAACAAGAATATGTTTATATTCACTAATTTCAGAAGCACTGTAATAAGCATTTTGAACTAGATGCTTAAGCATGTTCAAAGGCAACTGACAGCATAAAACCCCCAAATGAAAACAAATCATGTCTCTTTCAGGCAACTGATGTTTTCACCCCTAACCTTTCTTATCATTTAAACATAAGCTTGTACGTGCTCATGCTTGTCACTGAACTAAGGATTTTCTTCATTAAAAAAAAAAAAAAGCTATGGAATTTTGTAACTATCTATTATAGGGATACAGTAGACAACAAGAAGCACTCAAAACACTACCTGGACAAGTGACCTATTTCTGCACTTCAAAACCTAATCTCGGAAACCAAAAGGAACTCTATAGCATACTCTGGTTTTGAAAACACACTCTATTAGGAGCTGGTTTGTAAATCAGAGTTCTTCCATTTCTGATCACCCATGGGTTCTCATGGCAGTATCTATTTCTGTTTAAGTTGTATATAACATAACACTATAGTACTATGCTGTATGAGCACAAAAGCAGTGTGCACACATAAGATCCTAGCAGGTTTTCACCTCTAATACTTGTTCACCTGACTGCTTAAAGAAATAAAGTTACTTACACAGGAGAAAAAAGAAAATAAAAAATCAAAATGATTTTAGAAAACTGACAGCCACAGCTCACATTCATGTTTCTACACGTTTTCTTGAAGTAACTAATAAATGATGAAATAAATAATTAGTTTGAACGCATAAATTGTTTCATATTAGTACACTGCATGACAGTGAT